CTGGCTGCGTGGTCCGTCACCCAGGTGGGTCTGCTGCCCCGCCCGGTGCTGAAATGCGGCGCGTCCGCAGGTTAGGACCCTACCTGGGTGACGGACGACGTCAGCACCGCGGGGCACAGACCCTACCTGGGTGACGGACCATTTCAGCACCACGGGGCACAGACCCTACCTGGGTGACGGATCACGTCAGCACCGCGGGGCACAGACCCTACCTGGGTGACGGATCACGTCAGCACCGCGGGGCGCGGACCCTACCTGGGTGACGGACCACTTCAGCACCACAGGGCGCGTGATGCAGGGGAAGGCCTTGTTCAGCAGCTGCAGCAGCCGGGACTCCTCGTGTGCAATGGGGGACTTCTTGTTCAGGCAGTAGGTCATGGTGTCGTGGCTCCCTGAGAGCAAAGCACACGCGGACATGTCACCATCGGGCCCGTCCCTGCCACCTGCTGTGAGGTGCTCGGCCGCCCGCCCACAGCACGGGCACAGGCATGGCGGGAGGGGTGGACGCCGTCCCCCAAAACTCCTCACGTCCCCTGGAACCTGGGAATGGGACCTGTGTGGAAACCGGGTCTCTGCAGATATCATGAGGTTGAAATGAGATCATCCTGGAGCAGGGCACGCCCCAAATCCAGTGACAAGTGTCCATGTAAGAGACAGAAGAGGCGACACAGACACAGAGGAGGAGGCCACGTGGAGACGGAGGCAGAGACTGGAGTGATGCGGCCACAAGCCCAGGGACGCCTGGAGCCCCCAGGAGCTGGGAGAGGCAGGAAGGAGCCTCCCCTCGAGCCTCAGGAGGAAGTGTGGTCCTGCCCATATCTTGTTTCAGATTTCTGTACCTAGAACTGGGAGAAGGTAAATTTCTGTTGTTTGCCACCTCCTAACGTGTGGTCACTTGTCATGGGAGCCGCAAGAAACACAGACCTTTGTGGGGTCTGATTGATGGCCGACGTTTGCATTTGCTGCCTATGACACGTAGCTGTTGTTTCTTAAGATACGTATATTTAAATATACACAAATACACTTATGAATATAACATTTAAATATCAATAACGTAAATATGTGTGTATATACACATATATATTTGTATATATAGAACTCTGAAATATATGTATATATGTATATACACACATACATGTATATATACACACGCACATATACACATACATATATACATACACATATGTACACATATGCACATACACGTATATGTATGCATATACACGTATACATGTATACACACGCATATACACATATATACATACAGACATACACACATATACACACATATACACGTATATATACATACACGTATAGATACACATATGCACATATAGCTCTACATACATATACACTGATATACATATATATATTCATATACACATATATACACATATACACGTACCTACATGTGTACATACGTCTGTATATGTACATGTGCATATATGTGTGTGCATAAGTACAAATGCGCATACATCGTGCATGTGTATGTACCTGTATCTACATGTGTACATGTGTAGTATATACATGTACATGCACATACACCTGTGCATGTGCATAGGGACAAGCATCTATACATACGTGTATGCATATGTGTCTACGTGCATGTATGTACATGTTTATGGACGTATATGCATGTATGTGTATGGATACCTGTGTGTGCATATGTGCAACGTTCCATATGGATATACACGTGTGTGCATGTGTAGGTGCATCTGTGCATGTGTGTGTTCACAAATATGCATACATGTGTATGTTTCCATGTGCGTGTGTGTGGGTGTGTACATGTGCGGATGCATGTATGTGCATGTATGTATGTGTGTGCATGTGCGTGTGTGCATGCATGTGTGCCTATGTGTCTATGTGCGTCTGTGTATGTGATATGGTTCGGCAGTGTGCACACCCAAATCTCATCTTGAATTGTAGCTCCCACAATTCCCAGGTGTCATGGGAGGGACCTAGTGGGACGTCACTGAATCTTGGGTCTTTCCCATGCTGTTTCGGTGACAGGAAGTCTCCTGAGATCTGATGGTTTCAGAAAGGGGAGCTCCGCAGCACACGCTCTCTTGTCTGCCACCAGGTAACCCGTGACTCTGCTCCTCATCCACCTTCTGCCGTGACTGTGAGGCCTCCCCAGCCAGGTGGAACGGTGAGTCCATTAAACCTCTTTCTTTTATAAATTACCCAGTCTCAGACATGTCTTTCTTCGCAGGGTGAGAACAGACCAACACAGTATGCACGTGTCTGTGTGTCTGTGTATATGTGTGCATATGTGTGCGTATGTGTGAATGTATGTGTGCCTGTGTGTATGTGTGAATGTATGTGTGCATATGTGTGTATGTGTGCCTGTGTGTATGTGTGCATATGTGTGTATGTGTGAATGTGTGTATGTGTGCCTGTGTATGTGTGCATATGTGTGTATGTGTGAATGTATGTGTGCGTATGTGTGTATGTGTGCATGTGTGTATGTGTGCCTGTGTGTATGTGTGCATATGTGTGTATGTGTGCATATGTATGTGTGCCTGTGTGTATGTGTGCATGTGTGAATGTGTGTGCATATGTGTGTATGTGTACATATGTGTGTATGTGTGAATGTGTGTATGTGTGCCTGTGTATGTGTGCATATGTGCGTATGTGTGAATGTGTGTATGTGTGCATATGTATGTGTGAATGTAGGTGTGCGTATGTGTGTATGTGTGCATATGTGTGTATGTGTGCCTGTGTGTATGTGTGCATGTGTGTATGTGTGCATATGTATGTGTGCCTGTGTGTATGTGTGCATGTATGAATGTGTGTGCATATGTGTGTATGTGTGCATATGTGTGTATGTGTGAATGTGTGTATGTGTGCCTGTGTATGTGTGCATATGTGCGTATGTGTGAATGTGTGTATGTGTGCATATGTGTGTATGTGTGAATGTGTGTGCGCATGTGTGTGTGTGCATGTGTGTATGTGTGCATATGTGTGTATGTGTGCCTGTGTATGTGTGCATATGTGCGTATGTGTGAATGTGTGTATGTGTGCATATGTGTGTATGTGTGAATGTAGGTGTGCGTATGTGTGCATATGTGTGTATGTGTGCCTGTGTGTATGTGTGCATATGTGTGTATGTGTGAATGTGTGTGCGCATGTGTGTGTGTGCATGTGTGTATGTGTGCATATGTGTGTATGTGTGCCTGTGTATGTGTGCATATGTGTGTATGTGTGAATGTATGTGTGCCTGTGTATGTGTGCATATGTGCGTATGTGTGAATGTGTGTATGTGTGTGTATGTGTGAATGTATGTGTGCGTATGTGTGTATGTGTGCATGTGTGTATGTGTGCCTGTGTGTATGTGTGCATATGTATGTGTGAATGTATGTGTGCGTATGTGTATGTGTGCATATGTGTATATGTGTGCCTGTGTGTATGTGTGCATATGTGTGTATGTGTGAATGTGTGTGTGCATATGTGTGTATGTGTGCATATGTGTGTGTGTGTGTGCCTGTGTATGTGTGCATATGTGTGTATGTGTGAATGTATGTGTGCATATGTGTGTATGTGTGCATATGTGTGTATGTGTGAATGTATGTGTGCATATGTGTATGTGTGCATATGTATGTGTGCCTGTGTGTATGTGTGCATGTTGAATATGTGTGCATATGTGTGTATGTGTGCATATGTGTGTATGTGTGAATGTGTGTGTGCATATGTGTGTATGTGTGCATATGTGTGTGTGTGAATGTGTGTATGTGTGCCTGTGTATGTGTGCATATGTGTGTGTGAATGTATGTGTGCGTATGTGTATGTGTGCATATGTGTGTATGTGTGCCTGTGTGTATATGTGTATGTGTGCATATATGTGTATGTGTGAATGTATGTGTGCATATGTGTTTATGTGTGCATGTGTGTATGTGTGAATGTGTGTATGTGTGCCTGTGTGTATGTGTGCATATGTGTGTATGTGTGAATGTGTGTGTGCATATGTGTGTATGTGTGCATGTGTGTGTGTATGTATGCCTGTGTATGTGTGCATATGTGCGTATGTGTGAATGTATGTGTGCATATGTGTGTATGTGTGCATATGTGTGTATGTGTGAATGTATGTGTGCATATGTGTGTATGTGTGCATATGTGTGTATGTGTGAATGTGTGTGTGCATATGTGTGTATGTGTGCATATGTGTGTGTGTGAATGTATGTGTGCCTGTGTATGTGTGCATATGTGTGTATGTGTGAATGTATGTGTGCGTATGTGTATGTGTGCATATGTGTGTATGTGTGCCTGTGTGTATGTGTGCATATGTGTGTATGTGTGAATGTGTGTGTGCATATGTGTGTATGTGTGCACATGTGTGTATGTGTGCCTGTGTGTATGTGTGCATGTGTATGTGTGAATGTGTGTATGTGTGCCTGTGTGTATGCGTGCATATGTGCGTATCTGTGAATGTGTGTATGTGTGCATGTGTATGTGTGAATGTATGTGTGCGTATGTGTGTATGTGTGCATATGTGTGTATGTGTGCCTGTGTGTATGTGTGCATATGTGTGTATGTGTGAATGTGTGTATGTGTGCCTGTGTGTATGTGTGCATATGTGTGTATGTGTGAATGTGTGTGTGTGAATGTGTGTATGTGTGCATATGTGTGTATGTGTGAATGTGTGTATGTGTGCATATGTGTGCATGTGTGCATATGCACACGTGTGCATGTGTGTGTGCATATATGCCTGTGCATACGTGTGCATGTGTGCATGCCTGTGTCCATGTCTGCGCATGTGCATGCCTATGTACATATGTGTATGCACACACGTGCACACTGTGCATGTGTGTGTCCACGTCAGTGTGATTTGCAGGATTTCCCCACACCCAGGATTGCTCCTACAGCCAGCATCTCCACTGGGGAACGCAGAGGTAACAGTCCCCGCCCCACCCCACCCTCACCTGGGATGGAGAGGTGGTGGAGGGGCACATCCCAGAGCTGGGGACACAGTGCCGACATCCAGTCCTCGTTCGCATTTCTGCAGCGCAGGTTGGAGAAGCTGCTGGAAGTGCTCACCTGCCCGCCCATCGGAGGTGAACCCTGGGCAACCTGAGGAAGGAGAAGAGGAGAGAGAGATTTTTTTATGGTTAAAGTTGTGCTGCTTACACAGGGGTCATGGCTTCCCCTGGGAGGGGCTGGGGTGGTGGAGAGTGTGGGGTGGAGATCAGACTTCCTGAGAAAGGGGAGAGAGGGGCCGGGCGCGGTGGCTCACGCCTGTCATCCCAGCACTTTGGGAGGCCGAGGCGGGCGGATCGCAAGCTCAGGAGTTCAAGACCATCCTGGCCAACATGGTGAAACTCCCTCTCTACTAAAGATACAAAAATTAGTCAGGCGTAGTGGCGGGCACCTGTAGTCCCAGCTACTCGGGAGGCTGAAGCACCTTGTGATCCACCCGCCTCGGCCTCCCAAAGTGCTGGGATGACAGGCGTGAGCCACCGTGCCCGGCCTTCTCCCTTCCTTCTTTGTTGCCTAATAAACTCTCCGTTCCTTAAAACCACTCCACGTGCGTCCATGCCATGTTATCTAAACTGGCGCGAGACCAAGGACCCGGGTGTCCCTCCAGTCACCGGAGCCAGAGCAGTTTGGTGCATTCGCCGGGAATTCATTCATGAGAGCGGTGAGGAGGGGACGAATGTCACCCTCAGATCTGTCCTTTAATCTCAGGGTTGTCGTCCAGCTATCCTACCGCTAAAGCTTTCCTTCTTTCCTTCCTTCTCTATCCGCGGTCTCTCACTCTCTGTCGAATGCACGGGAATTTTTACAGCCTAGGGAAGGAATCCTGTTGGGCCACACCAGGAAATGCGGTCGACCAGGGATACAGCTCAGTCTTCCAGGAATACGGTTCTCTCCTTTCCCCCTAAATAAAGTTACTTGGTACTAATTCTCTAGCAGGTACATGGTATTTCCTTTTTTCTTTTTTTTTGAGACGTTGTTTCGCTCTTGTTGCCCAGGCTGGAGTGCAGTGGCGCGATCTCAGCTCACCGCAACCTCCGCCTCCCGGGTTCAAGCGATTCTCCTGCCTCAGCCTCCCGAGTAGCTGGGATGACAGGCGCTAATTTTTGTGTTTTTAGTGGAGACGGGGTTTCTCATGTTGGTCAGGCTGGTCTTGAACTCCCGACCTCAGGTGATCCGCCCTCCTCGGCCTTCTAAAGTGCTGGGATGACAGGCGTGAGCCACCGCGCCCGGCCGGTGCACCGTATTTCTAAGGCAACAGCGCTCCCTAGTGGGAACAGAAATCCTCTTCGTGGCCGGGCAGCACTTTGGGAGGCCGAGGCGGGCGGATCACGAGGTCACGAGTTCGAGACCGGCCTCACCGACATGGTGAAACCCCCGTCTCTAGTAAAAATACAAAAATTAGCCGGGCGTGCTGTCACACGCCTGTAATCCCAGCTATTCAGGAGGCAGAGGCAGGAGAATCGCTTAAACCCAGGACGTGGAGGTGGCAGTGAGCCGAGATCACGCCACTGCACTCCAGCCTACTGACAGAGCAAGATTCCGTCTCAAAAAAATAAATAACAATAATAATAATAGGCACCAGGAGGAGGCCCAAAAAGAGAAACCTCAGGAGAAGGACAATGCCTCTAGCAACAGCTTGGCAGGCTTGCAAACTCCAGGATTCCCCCAGGTGCATACGGTAGTTGCTAAAAGTGTGGCAGGCCAGGACATTTTAAAAAGTGTGGAGGCCGGGCACGGTGGCTCAAGCCTGTAATCCCAGCACTTTGGGAGGCCGAGACGGGCGGATCACGAGGTCAAGAGATCAAGACCATCCTGGCTAACACGGTGAAACCCCGTCTCTACTAAAAACTACAAAAAACTAGCCGGGCAAGGTGGCGGCGCCTGTAGTCCCAGCTACTCGGGAGGCTGAGGCAGGAGAATGGCGGGAACCCGGGAGGAGGAGCTTACAGTGAGCTGAGATCCGGCCACTGCACTCCAGCCTGGGCGACAGAGTGAGACTCCGCCTCAAAAAAAAAAAAAAAAAAAAATGGCCGGGCAGCAAGACAGAGTCACCTCGCTCCCGCCCAGCCTGTGGTGAAAAGCAGTGGGGACAGAACTGCTCCCAGAGTGGGAGGTCGGTGGGTGCAAACCCTCTGCTCCAGTGGCTCCAAATGCCATCACAGCACATGGCCCTGGGCGATTCCGGAAATGGAAGGAAAACAGACCTCCTTCTAAACACTAGAGCCAGCCTCTCTCCTTTGTCCTCTCTCCTTTCTCCTCCCTCATCCAGGCCTCCCCACTTCCTATAAGGGGCATCTCAGCAAAAACTCTAATCCAATCATTTTCTCAATCTGAGTGGTAGTTAGGAGGACCTATTTACATACGTTTCCAAGCCACTGTCATGCCAGCTCTACTGTCATGAAAAGCCTCCAAGTTAAGCCTAGGAAATAACTGTTTCCACTGCACACAATGTGCCAGGACGACTGCCCTCTAGGGACAGCTCTTAGCCAGCAAACAGTCAGTAAAGCAAGATAAGCAAAGTCACTCTCCAGAGACTCAAGAGCTCAATTAGCTGATAGCTCTTATAAAACCACTTAAATTACGCCAGGGAAACGTAGCTAACATAGATGCCGATTCCTTGGACACTTTCCTGGTTATCCATGCTCATGCTGCCATTCAGAAGGAAAAGCATCTTCTTACCACGAATGGATCTCCTATAAAATATCACCAGGAAGGTAGGGCATGGTGGCTCACGCCTGTCATCCCAGCACTTTGGGAGGCCGAGGCAGGAGGATCACCTGAGGTCGGGAGTTCGAGACCAGCCTGACCAATGGGATGAAACCCCGTGTCTAGTAAAAATATAAAAGTTACCTGGGTCTGGTGGCGGGCGCCTGTCATCCCAGCTACTCAGGAGGCTGAGGCAGGAGAATCGCTTGAACCCGGGAGATGGAGGTTGCAGTGAGCTGAGATTGCACCACTGCACTGCAGCCTGGGCAAGAAGAGTGAAACTCTGTCTCAAAAATATAGACAGACAGACAGATAGAGATAGAGAGATAGATATAGATATAGAGATAGATATAGATATAGAGAGAGATGATAAAGAGAGAGATATATATAGACATATAGATATATATAGATAGAGATGATAGAGAAGATAGATAGATAGATAGATAGATAGATAGATAGATAGATAGATGATGGAGATAGGTAGATAACAGATAGATAGATAGATAGATAGATGATGGAGATAGGTAGATAACAGATAGATAGATAGATAGATAGATGATGGAGATAGGTAGATAACAGATAGATAGATTAGATAGATAGATAGATAGATTAGATAGATAGATAGATAGATAGATAGATAGATGATGGCGATAGGTAGATAACAGATAGATAGATGATGGAGATAGGTAAATAACAGATAGATAATGGAGATAGGTAGATAACACATAGATAGATAGATAGATAGATAGATAGATAGATAGATAGACAGACAGACACATAGATAGACAGACAGATAGATAACCTCACCAGGAAATTAGCAGGTCATTATTCTCAGTTTTTCTTCCAGGAGAGACAGCAGGGATGTATTGGAACATCAAAAGGGAACAGACAAAGTAGCCCAAAGGAAAGAGATTAGCTGATCAGGCGGCCAAATCAAAGGCAAGGAAGCCTCAAGGCAGTAACACACTTCCAGTCCTTCTAATCCAGGAGGACTCCATAAAAGAAACTAAACCTCAGTATTCCACTACAGAAATAGAGAAAGCCCCTTCTCAAGGGTACGCTTGTCAGCTGAATTTATAGAATATACTAAATCATATATCAATTATATAGTAATGTATTATATAATTTATTTATGATATAAATATATATTATATATTATATAAATATTATAAATATTGTATATATATTACATAAAATATAATATATTCATTACTTATATTATATGTATATATATAATTTTTATATATAATATATACTATATATTAAATAAAATTTTTATATTTATAGAATATATATGCATATATGACACATGTTATTAGTAATATATGATATATAT